TTGGAAAGCATAATTTGCCCTGTGAAAGCATTCAAGTGCCGAATGCCCTCTTTTCCCACAAATATGGTTAATACTATAGCCTTTCATCTTGAAGGTTTACGCTTCTGAAGCTCGTATTGGCTAGGTTTGTATAACAAGGAGCTTGTTCTGTGTGTCGAGTCAGGCTTCATTTATATGACAGTGGCAGTGGTGTAGTGTACAGTCTATTCGCTCTCACTTTGTTGTACTCAATTGATTTGTTCCAGCACATCTCATTTCTCATGCCCTTCTAACTGGATTATGTTTGTTTTAACCATACAGCAAACTATTGACGAGAAAGATGACAAACTGAAAAATATAAAGGATGAGTTCGGTGTTCATGTTTACAATGATGTGACAACTACCTTGCTGGAATTGAATGAGTATAATCCCAGTGGTAGGTACGCAATATCGGAATTATGGATCTTTGAGCAAAAGAGGAGGGCCTCACTGAATGAGGGTATCTCAGCTTTACTGAAGCAGTTTGAACTCCAGAAAAGGAAAAGAAGCTGACAGTCCGTATATTGCAATTTGACTTTCTATAGAAAAATGCATGTTGAATTAGGTAGAGCTTTCAACTTGGGTGATAGAAGGTTTATGTAGAAATTTATGTTAAAAGTTGGATAATAGGACTTTTGTTAATGGAGAATTGGTTATTCTATTGTTCAGTTCGATGTTATAGTTTGTGTGTCGCAAGGTTTATTGTTGAATTGGACTCCCGTCTTATCTTCCCTTGTTATGCCTAAGGGCCAGTTTTAAATCTCGGTTCGAAGCTTCAAAAGAACCTCTACAATTCTTGTTTTTGTCAAAGGTTGTTGTTGGTACATGTGTTAGTTGAGTTTATTTTTCTCGCCAATAAAACATTTTGTAAACTATTATGGTCGTACATTCCTTGTTACTTGTTTTGTTTGACCATATGTGTTTCACATCACTGAATTTGGAAGGGCTAGCCGAAGGGATTTGGATGGAAGTGTTGGGGCTTAAAAAGACTTCACTACTTAGGAGATGCTTATCTCACAAAGAAGAATGTAATGCAGCGGAATTGATAGGCAAGAGAAAGAACGAACACTCAAAGTTTTTTACACAAAACTTTTTATTCACTCACAAACTAGTACAAGAGGAAACACTCAAACACTCTTAGAAGCTTTGTTGCTTCTTCTCACTTCTCACTACTTTCTTTCTTGGTTGTTTTTCAATACACACACACACACACACCTATTTATAGGCATGTTTGCCGACTTCAATGATGCTAGAATTTTCTAGCATATTATTATACACACACACCCACCAACCTAATTGGATAATGCTAGAATTATCTAGCATATTGTTATGCCTGCATGATGCACCGACTTTGGTGCTAGAATTTTCTAGCATTTGCACATTGGCTTTGGGTTGGATCACTCGTGTTGGGCTGAAAACAAGATTACTTTTTAACATCCCCCCTTAATCTTGTCTTGTGACGCCGATTGAGTTCCTCAGTCTGATAAAGTCTTCTTGTTTGAGTGGCTTGGTGAATATGTCGGTGACTTGGTCTTGAGACTTCACGTATTCCACTTGCACATCCTTTCTTGCAATGCACTCTCTTATGTAGTGATAACAGGTATCTATGTGCTTGCTCCTGTCATGAAATACTGGATTCTTTGCTAGAGCTATTGCAGCCTTGGTGTCGACATAGATCTCTGTTGGCTCTTCTTGTGGCATGCTTAATTCTTTTAGCAAGTTTCTCAGCCAAATTGCATGGCAGACACATGCGGTAGCAGCTACGTATTCAGCTTCGCAGGTAGAGAGAGTGACAATCGGTTGCTTCTTCGACATCCATGTGAATGCAGTGTCTCCCATGAAGAACACAAATCCAGTAGTGCTTTTTCTATCGTCGGAATCTCCTGCCCAATCACTGTCGCTATATCCAGCAAGTTTGTAGTTATCAGAACTTGAATAGAACAAGCCAAAGTTAACAGTACCTTTAAGGTATCGAAGAATTCTTTTGGCGGTTCAAATGTGTAGTTGTAGGATTCTCCATGTAGCGACTGACCAATCCGACGGCATAGCGAATGTCTGGTCTTGTGCAAGTCAAGTAGCGTAAACTTCCAACTAGACTTTTGAAAAATGTTGGATCTACCCTTTCTCCTTTGTCATGCTTGGTTAGTTTGACTCCGCACTCTACTGGCGTGCTTATGGGCTTGCAGTCGTCCATTTTGAACTTTTTCAATATCTCCTTTGTGTAGCTTTCTTGGGAGATAAAAATGCCTTCTTTGTTCTGCTTGACTTCGATGCCTAGGTAGTATGCCATCAAACCGATGTCGGTCATCTCGAATTCTTCGGTCATCACTCTCTTGAACTCTTCATACATGCTTGGATTACTTCCGGTGAAGATTAGATCATCCACATATAAGCACACAATCAGAATATCTTCATCTTTGACTTTGACGTAGAGAGCATGTTCATGAGGGCACTTGATGAAGTTGTTTTCTTGGAAGTACTTGTCGATGCAACTATTCCATGCTCGTGGTGCTTATTTTAACCCATAGAGGGCTTTCTTCAGCTTCAGAACTTTGTCTTCATGCCCTTTGATTTCATAGCCTGATGGTTGCTGAATGTAGACTTCTTCTTCAAGGACTCCATTTAGGAAAGTGGACTTCACATCCATTTGTTGAATCTTCCATTTGTTTTGAGCTGCCAAAGAAATTAGTAATCGTATAGTTTCCAACCAAGCAACGGGCGCAAATACCTCATCATAGTCGATTCCGGCTCTTTGACTATAGCCCTTTGCCACTAATCTCGCTTTGTATCTTTCGACCTCTCCGTTGGCATTCTTCTTTGTCTTATACACCCACTTGACTCCGATGGCTTTGTGTCCTTTCGGAAGAATAGCGAGTTCCTATGTATCGTTCTTCTGAATTGCTTCAATTTCTTCATCCATTGCTTTCATCCATTTAGTATCTTGCGCTGCTTCTTGGAAGTCAACTGGTTCACAATCAGCAAAGAGACAGAAAAGTGTAGGATTATCCAATCTTTCAGCTACCTCATAGAGATCTCGTAGACTTCTTGTGCGTGGTACTTCTCTTTCATTTAGACTCCCACTTGATGATGCTAATGCTAGTGAATTGCCTTGATTGGTTGATGTTGGTGAAGCAGGTGGAGTAGTGGATTCTTGTTGAACCTCTCTTGTTTGCTCCATCATCCCTTGTTCATTTTCTTCTTCAAACTGAGGAAAGAAATGAAGATCACCTGCATGAGGGCCAAAATCCTATTCTCCTTCTTCATTGAACGTCACATCTCGACTGATCACCATCTTCCCATTGTTTGGATTATACAACTTATAGCTTTTTGAATTTGAGTCATAACCGATGAAGCTGAACTTCTCACTTTTGTCGTCGAGTTTCGTCCTCCTCTCATTTGGTACATGTACATGGGCTATGCTTCCAAAAACTCTTAGATGAGAGATACCTGGTTTTCTTCCACTCCATGCTTCTTGCAGAGTCTTTCCCCACACACTTCTTGTTGGAGACCGATTGGATAGGTAGACAGCACATGATACAGCTTCTGCCCACAATTCCTTAGGCAATCTCTTACTTTTGAGCATGCTTCGAGCTATGTCGAGGATGGTTCAATTTTTTCTTTCCGCTACACCATTTTGTTGAGGGGATCTTGGAACTGTCAAAGGTCGACGAATTCCATTATCTTCACAGAATTCTTGAAATTCCTTTGAAGTGAATTCTCCTCCTCGATCAGATCTCATGGTTTTGATCTTGCAACCACTTTCTTTCTCTACAGCAGCTTTGAACTTCTTGAATGCTCCAAATACCTCTGATTTCTGCTTTAAGAAATATACCCAGGTTTTCCTTGAAAAATCATCAATGAAGAGAAGGAAATAATTATTTTTACCCAAAGAGCTTGGTTTTATTAGACCGCACACATCGGTGTGAATGAGCTCGAGTGGCTTCTGGGCTCTTGTGGTCGACTCATTTGGAAAGCTTTTCCTTAACTGTTTCCCAAGTAAACATCCTTCGCAAGCTTGATCAGGGCGACTGATGCACGGTAAGCCTCTCACCATCTCCTTCTTGGATAATAACTCCAGTCCCCCAAAGTTAAGATGCCCAAAACGAAGATGCCAAAGCCAGGATGTGGCTTTGTAACATATCTTGAGACACTTTGCAGCATCGTTTTGAATGTTCATGGGAAACATCCTATTCTTTGACATTTTCACCTTGGTAATTAATCTTCATTTGTCATCTCTAAGAAAAAGGCTATAATTTTTCATGTGAATATCATAACCTTTTTCTAAGAGTTGTCCCAAGCTCAAAATGTTGCTTTTCATATTGGGCACATAATAGACATTTGAAATTAATTGGTGACCGCCATTTTTTAGGGGAATAAGGATGTTACCTTTTCCTTTGACGGGTATTTTGGATTCGTCTCCAAAAGAAACGTTGCCACTCACCAATTCATTGAGCTCTACGAACATGCTTCTTCTTCCGCACATGTGGTTGTTAGCGCCGGTGTCAAGGTACCATGTATAGTCTTGGTCTCCATCATTGTTCTTGCATGCTAGTAGCACAATGCCATTATCTTTTTTCTCTTCTTTCACATAATTGACCTTCTCATCAGGCATGTTGCTTGGAGCTCTACATTCCCAAGCATAATGCCCAAACTTTTGACAATTGTAACATTGAACTTGAGATTTTTCATACCTCAAGTTTGAGCGTCTTCTTCCATGACCATTTGTTGAGCTTCCTCCTCTTTCGTAGTTGTTATGATTGTTGAAGTTCCAACCACGTCCACGTCCATGTCCACGTCCGCGACCTCGACCACGACTTCTTTCGTACTGGCTTCTCTCGTTGTCCAAGCTTTCTTCTTTCTTCTTTGGTTGGACATGCGTCTTGAGGAGCTGCTCATCATTCCTTGCCTCTTCTTATGTTTCTCTTCATATGCTTGTAGTGAACCCATTAATTGCTCTATACTAATTTCTTCCAAGTTTTTAGTTTCTTCAATCGTCACGACAATGTGCTCGAACTTGGGGTCCAACGAACGTAGTATCTTCTCCATAATTCTAACATCTTCTAACTTTTCTCCGTTTCTTTTTAATTGATTGGAAACGGCTAAGACTCTTGAGAAATAATCAGAGATTGATTCAGACCCTTTCATTTGTAGAGATTTGAACTCACCTCTTAATACTTGAAGACGAATCTTTTTCACTTGTTCGGCTCCTTTGTAAGAGGTTTGAAGCTTCTCCCATGCTTGCTTGGCAGAGGTTGCACTCGAGACCTTCTCAAAGCCATTGGCATCTAATGCTTGGTAGATGAGGTAGAGAGCCTTCTTGTCTATCTTTCTTGAATCTTTCAAACTCTCCTTCTGAGGTTGGGACAAAGTAGCTTCATCTTCTGGCTCAGTGTAGCCTTTCTCCACGACTTCCCATACATCATGTGCTCCCAAAAGGGCCTTCATTTTGATAGTCCAATTATCGAAGTTGTTGTTGTTGAGCACTGGAACTTGGAAGGCTGCCATAGCGTTGCTAGCCATAGCTCTGGTACCACTTTGTTGGGGCTTAAAAAGACTTCACTACTTTGGAGATGTTTATCTCACAAAGAAGAATGTAATGCAGCGGAATTGATAGGCAAGAGAAAGAACGAACACTCAAAGTTTTTTACACCATTTTTTTTTATTCACTCACAAACTAGTACAAGAGGAAACACTCAAACACTCTTAGAAGCTTTGTTGCTTCTTCTCACTTCTCACTACTTTCTTTCTTGGTTGTTTTTCAATACACACACACACACCTATTTATAGGCATGTTTGCTGACTTCAATGATGCTAGAATTTTCTAGCATATTATTATACACACACACCCACCAACCTAATAGGATAATGCTAGAATTATCTAGCATATTGTTATGCCTGCATGATGCACCGACTTTGGTGCTAGAATTTTCTAGCATTTGCACATTGGCTTTGGGTTGGATCACTTGTCTTGGGCTGAAGACAAGATTACTTTTTAACAGGAAGTATATAGTTGACAACATCTTTTGTAATTTCTATGAAGTTCTCGTGAACACACACAACCCCAACACACACTAGGAGCAGTGGAGCACCCTATGGTTAATTTCTTCAGAATTACCCGGTTCTAACATGGTTAACGCAGTTCATGTTTATTGTTTTCCTACATGCCAAACACAGAGATGTTTTCTGAAGATCACTCATCACTTCACTGATATAGATATGCTGACGGTAGATTTGATTTCGATCAATTCCTCATGTTTTCTCCTGTATCATAACAACTTGGTAGGAAAGCTTTTGCCTATGTTGTGTTTATACTTGTTAGTGTAAATTGAAATATAGCTCAGTAAATTCGGGAACTCTCATTCTCCGACAACTATCCTAGCGTTGTGGTAGGCTCTACGACACATCTTCGCTTGTCATCTATGTGAGAGATGGGGATTGCAAGAACACACATTGATTAAAAAAAAAAAAAGCTTATTTTTTGCGAATGAAATATTTGAAATCGTTGTTTGGATGCTGCGCATGAAGTATGACTACATTTTTCTTAATTTTGCATAATATGACTACATTTTTTTTTTTAAATTTCGCATCAATTTGAACGGCGTCATAATGCTTGGAAAGCCCTAAACCTTGATTTAGGTTTTTTGTAGGTTCCTATCGGAACTTTAACGATTTGGTAGGTCTTGACCAAATGGTTAAGTTATGGGATGTGATATCCACACACCATTTTTTACTCCTCTCACATCCTTTTAATTTTTGGCCGTCAGATCAGATGAATTGAAGAAGATCAAAGGACAAAAATTAACAAGGGGTGTGGGAGAAGTAAAAAGAGGTGTGTGGATAGCACACCCCAATATCGAGGGCTTTTCGTTAAAGTTCCCGTTATTGGGAAAACTAATTAAAAGGACTTGAAAACTTTGAGTTTTAACAATAAGGACAAAATAAAGGGTAAAGTGAATAGTACCATGATTGACTTTTTAGTGTAAAAATGTGGTTTTTCGTTAAAGTGAACAGTACGCGAGGACTTTTCGTTAAAGTTCCCTAAGTTATTTTAGTGGATACGTGCCAAAATATTGAATCCTTTCATTTGTCACAGATTCATGTACTCTAAGGCTGGAGCCTACTGAAAATACGCACAGCTTCGGTACGTACCCGCTGAAACTACATGTAGTTATGACATATATAACTGCAGTTTTGGTAGATACATGCCGAAACTTTATGTGGAGAGTGTGGACTATGTGATTAGTTTGGGTAAGATGGATGTTCTCTAGATTATTTAGGGTTGTCTTAAGGTGACGTCATTGACACTTTGAAAAAATTATTATACACTTCTAAGTGTATTTGTTGGAGAGTGCACAGTACGGTACATACTCTCTGATATTCTGTTAGAGAAAAAATGATAAACTTTATAAGATGAAGCCACAAATTCCATCCACAAAAACAAACCATGTCCAAAATTAAACCAACCCCTTGACTGCTATGAAAAACACAATTGGACTTCAAAGTAGGACAATTAAAAAATTTCACCCAATTTAGCACGTCTAGCTCAAAGTTTGAGTCGAAATAGCTAAATTGATAATACAATGAATAGTGGGACATGTTTATGACTTAAAGTTGGGGTGAGTTTTAGATGGATCAAATTGAAATAAAGTTTGATTCCAAAACTTCAGTTCATATCGGATACATATTTCCAAAAGGGTTTTTTATTCACACCTCATATTTTATTGAATACATCATACATGCTGAACACACTTTGCATCTACCTTTTCAATTACAATACTAAATGAAGAAACAAATGATACAACTAATGTGTGCCTCTAGCTTCGATTTTCAATTATTCTTTCCGTCCTACCACTTGAGTCTTGAGTTACATCATGACCTTATTAACTAAGTTTATCTTAAGTAAAAACACCATAACACTAAAGGTTGTTGAATAATCTTCAATCCATTCCATGACAAATTTAATATAATCTCGAAGAAACGTGTCACTCTGATCTTTCTTCCAGCATTTGAACGCCAACATACCTGCTCAAAGAACAAAATTTGGTGTGGGAAAAGAACAACTATATATTCTTACACAAATAAATAAAGTAATTTAAGGACTTAGTTAAATTTTTACTAAGTAGTTGTATTATGTACAGGTAATTTCTTGTGGCTGTGAACTTAAATGTACATGTGTAACATGCATACCTGCCCAACATCATGAGAGTGGCTTGAGGATTGGTCCCTGGTGATAAATTGAATACAGATCCATCAACAACACGTAATGCCTTGATCCCCATGACCCGCAAATCCTCATCAACTACCTTTCCGACCACGCATGCACCATGGTAGTGCCAAAATGTGGCTACTGTATCTCAACAAAAGTTTCAAAGGATGCATCATCTAACTATTTCACTGGTAAAAGCGGTCCAAAAAAGTTGAAACCTTCTAGACCTGGCAAATCTTGAGCCTTATACGGTTTCAATGAGTTTGTTTTTAATAAATCACCAATTTTCCTCACGGCACTAACACAACGAGAAAGGTCTGCCTCCTATGCAAAGTAGTTGAATTTGACATTTGGAGCAACTTTGACATCATAGGATGATTGCAGCTTAAGAGAACCATAGGACAAGGGTCCTGGAAATTTGAAAATAATGTGCCCGAAACTTGAATTTATGGTCATGGGAATTGTTGGACTAGGGAAAAGACTAAAGGCCTGAGTAGAAAATGGCAAGCCGGAGAAAGTCTCTATGTAATAATCACTTGTGATACCACAAACTGTGCAGTAGAAGGTTCTACTTGAAACGGGGCCAAAGTGGTAATGTAATTACGAGGATTATCACGCATAAACTGCCCAACGTAAGGTTGTGGGTGAACAACTGGGATTTTACGAGATGAAAGGTAAGATTTTGGGCCAACACCACTAAGTAGTAGAAGTTGAGGACTTCCAATTTCACCTGCACTCAATATAACCTCACCCTTACCACGTATCAATGCCCGATGAGACCTCCCGTTAGAATCACTGTATATGATTCCTTTAGCTGACAAACCTACATAAAATCGATATTAGAATTGGACATATATTTAATTTACAAGTAAACAGAACATATTCAAATCCTTCAAATATATCATTTTTAATGCCATGATAGATTTAATTTTTGTTTTATGGAAATTTTGTTGAGAATGAATGTCATATTGATGGAAGGAAGAACCTTGTTTAGGCTTAAAAGTAAATTGGGCTACTCCCCGTATAGTCAATTTGTTTTATGGTGAAACCTCAACTTTCTTCAAATATAAATGACCTATAATTGAATATATCAAATGTGTTTGGATACCTGATGCTTTGGAAGAGAAAATGATCCTCTCTACTGTGGCATGAATTGCAACTCTCAGGTTTTTTGGATGTCCTTTATTTAGGTGTTCCACAGCTCCATGTCTTTTTCCACGATTGTCTAAGAGCGTACCCGTGACTTTACTTCCCAGAATGTGATCCAAAGTCAGTCCATTGTCTGGACGAACACCAGCTTCTAACATCGCATCTTTCACAACAGATTGCCAGCGTGTTACATTCGGACGGAATATTACAGTGTTTTCAACCCATTCATATGAATTATTCACTAAGTTCATGTCCAATTTAATTCCTGATTTCTCGTAGAATTCACTGTCGGCTCTTGAGTATATACCAATATTGATCATACTTGACCAGCCTAGGATCCGTCCTCTACATTAGCTACACCATCTTCTGATGTGAACCTCTGGACCGGCGTCTTACCGTCATCTTCTTGCATGAAATTTGCAAGAGTCTCATTTTGACACAACACATTTGGATATGCTGATGGAATATTGCCCCTTTCTAGAAGGAGAACGGAGTAGTTTGCAGATAAAGTTGTTACCAACGGGCACCCTGCCGTGCCCACTCCCACAACAATGTAGTCATATTCTTCTTGTAATGGTAGATCAGTTGCGTTACATACAAATTTCAAGTAGCTAAAATCTGCATTATATGAACAAAAA